ACAACCGTACCCACTCTCCCCTATTATCCCATCATAAATTTAAAGTAGAACTCTGCAATTATAACGCAACATAACTAACACAGTTTCATTAATCCAATCGATAAAATCAATCCAATTTTAAATATTAAAAATAAATTGCCAATTCTATTTTTGCAAGTTTGCAGTATAACAAAACAGCTTCATCATTGAGTCCATGTATTGTCGTAACGTAACAATATAAAAACATGTCGATCATAAATAAAATATTTTTCACGATATCGATGTGAATGTGAATTTAGTATGCGAGAGGCGCACGTGATAATGTTTTTTTGGAAGAGAAAACTCGAGTTTTGTGTACGTTTTTGTCATAGTTCTCGCGGTGTCTATATCTGTGATAGATCGATACGGCGCGATTGTAAGCCGGGACGCTAATGGCTTCGTAATGAGTCTACGCCACTACTCTGTTCGACGTGTTCGACGAACGAATATGCCGCAAAACCTCAGGCATAAAAATTAAAACGCTACGTGAATGTGAAAGATACGAGGTTTTGTAATATTCGAGAGGTATTATGTGCCCCGATATTTTCATAGAGACGACTATTTTCATTGTGTATTTATTCATCTATCAAACATATAATATACATATATATACGACACGAGTATCTATTTTCTAGAAAAATTATAGTAAACTAGTGGTTCGTGGCATCGTGCCTTAAGACAAATTACAGGAACGTTCCGTATCGAAAACTAAAATTTTTAAAGAGCTTTAAAATTATTTAAAAATTTTGAAAATATTAGATTTTTAAAAATTTGACTTTTTTGAAAGATTTGAATTTTTTTATATTTTGATATAGCTGTTTTAGAGTCGAAATAATGAAGCGCGTAAGAACGGCATCGTTGTCTAGCGAATAAACATTGGTACGGAATCTATAAAAATGTAAACAAAATTTGTACTTATTATCAAAATCTCTAAGAAACATCTGATTTCTCTATTTCTATTTGATGTGCATATGTCCAATAATTATTTTTGACTGCCAAAAGGCATTTCTTTTACTTTTTTTATTGGATCTTCGAAACCGCTAGACCTGCCTTTCCAAAAATTTAATCAGTTCTTCATTTCGTCAATACAAATGAAATGTTTTTTGAATTATACCACTTGAACTTTTTCCCCTGACTCCAAAATGGCTGAACCTGCCTTTGCCAAAAACTAATCAGCACGTTTTCTTATCATTAGGAATCGAATGGTTTTTGAATTATTCAAATTAGTCAAATCGTCGACGAAAATTTGTATCAGTACACATACACACATACATCCATTTTTTCCAAAGTAAGCCAAAATGTTCAGAAACCTTTGAAACGCAAATATATATAAAAAAAATATTTTGCGATTACTATATTTTACCCTACGGGAAATAAAAAACTGATTGTAAATGTGGAAGTATGTATGGTATATAACATACATACACAGCTAACACAAATTATATAAGGTTCACCCACGGCAATAAATGTTCATGGTAAAAATACAGTACAAAACTAAAAACAAACAAAAATCATGTTTCAGATTAGTTATTTCATTTTATTGAATTATTACAGATAATTTACTATAGTTTTCAAATGCAACTGATTGCAATGAAACTGATTTTAATTTAATTAAAATAAAGTTGCACATTAGGAGAATCATTGAAAAAAGTGTTAGGGGTAAACAACCCTTGATAAAAATACTTTAGTTTTGAAGTAAAATTTATGCTCTTCCATAGGTTTAAAAAAATTCTAATCGAAATTCAGTGAAAAATGTTCATTGCTTGAAAGCGGGATAAAAAATAATTCGATAAATAAAATGACTATTACGAAATAGGGGTTTGTGGTAGGACATCGAACTTAATACTTTATCTATTTTTTAACTGCAAGGGTAAAAAATACAGTAAAAAATTAAAAAGAAAAAAAGATATATAAAAAATCATGCTTCAGATTCTTGTATTGTTATTTCATTTTCTTGAATTATTACAGATTATTTACAGTAGTTTTCATTATTATAGTACTTTTTCACTGAATGAAGTCTAAAATGTTAGCCGAAACGTATAGATATCAAAAAAAATTAAACAATTCATACAATGTTTGCCCGATTTTTTATCTCAACTCAAATAAGTATATGTGCACGTAGCACGTAAATAAAACGGGCCATATATTCATGCGTTTAATTGTTTTACGGTGTAAAAAAATGATTGAGTTTGTTAACGTGTTGTTCCATTTCGTATAAAAACAGTTTGGATGTGAATTGGAATGTTATCCAATTTTAATTGTTCTTATTCGGCAATAGATGTATATATGTATAAATATGTATCATATTCATCAAAATAGCCTAAATTATAAGCTGATTTGAAGATAATATTGGAAGCTTTCAAAAGCTCAGGAAGGAAAAAGCTTTATTCCTTCGTACCTCCATTACCACCATAGTGGTAAAATTTACTATATAAAAACTATTATTAAAGATTGAATAGATAAATGAGAATTACTTTATAAAATACTTCTCATTAAATTAATTAGAGTATAAATTACGAATGTATGATAGTATACAACATTAAGAAGTTTTTCACTATCACTAATGAGTATCAAAAAATATATTTTGCTAACAAAAATCTATATAAATTGGATCTATTAGAAGACCAATGAAAATTATACATTTCCTCTTTAATGATAAGATAACTTGTTAATTCTAAACTTGTAAACTTGTAAAAAAAATATTAAATAACTAACAAGAAATGGTAGATGAGGTTTTCTATCTTTTACCATTCGAATGTTTTCCTGGGAGCTTTTCCAGCCTTTAAATAAAATAGCGTGTGTGGATGCAATTATACACGAACGTCGTTCCAAAGCTGAACTAACTGCTAAGTAACAGGCTGTGGTATTTTATTACCGAATTATTGGGGTTTTCACAAACGCTACGCTAACTGTGTTAACATGACAAGTTGTGCTTTATGCATCTGCTACGGTACGATTTTTCACGGATGAGGGAAAACAATGTAGTAGGTGGAACAATGATTGTAGAACAAAGCATGTATAACACACAGATATAAAATTTTAGGAATAAAAAATTAAACTAGTGGTGTATGCCATAGTTCCTTTAGGCAAATTGCGATAACATCTCGTACCGTAATTTAAAATTTTTAAAAACTTTAAAATTTTGTGAAAGATTTTAATTTTTTTCTCATCGAAATCTTACGGTTAAAAGCTATAAATCTCGTTATGGAACTCACAGAAATGTAAACAAATTTGTACTTATTATTGAAACTTATTTAAAATATCTTGTAATTTGAAGTGCATATGTCTAATGACCATTTCTGATCGCCAAGAGGTATTTTTCTAATTTTTTTTTTTTTATCTCCGAAGCCACTGGTCTGCCTTTCCAAAAATTTAATCAATTGTTAATTGCATTAATACAAGTGAAATGTTTTTTGAATAATTCAATTTAAAAGATCCGTTCTCTCAAGAACTGATTTGCATCATTTGCACTTTTTGCCCCGTATCTCCGAAACAAGTAGCCCTACCTTTGCAAAAACTAATTAGCACGTCTACCCACAAATCGGAAATACATGTTTTTAGGATCATTCAAATCTGTTGTTTAAAAATGTTCAGAAGACGTAAAAACGTGAAGTTATGCAAAAATGTTCATCTTAGATTATTTGACGATTACTATAAGCGCAAAAGTAATTGTTTTCAATAATTTTTAAACTAAACAACTGAAGTGTTTACCAAAATAAATCGTATACACAAATAAAATATTAATATCGTTTACAGAAAAATTTGATCTGAAATTAAGAGACGATGCGAAGCTACATCGATTTTTATAGAGTAAAAAAACAAACTAATTATAATCTCAATATGTTTCATCGTGTTCATTTATATACAGTTATTTTATTTTTGGGATAAAAATTTACCAAAAACGTAACCGTAAAGTATTTTTTTAATTTTATATAGTTACTTTAGCTTACAGTATTATGTTAATTATAATTTAGAAAATATATGCAAATATATTTTTGTTTCTATTTATATTGGAACCGATATCAATTATTCATATCTAAAAAAAATTAACGAAGTAACCTGTGGATCTTTATTTTTCAAAAAATATTATAAACTTATTTAACAACCTAAACAAGGTCACCTTAGTTCTATTTCTTATTTCTATGCAATTTCTATCAATTGTAATCAAGTTTGTTTCTTTTATTTACTTTTTGTTATTAGACCCTGCTTTTTGATAAAAAACTAGGTGCAAGTGGTATTTTGACAGTAAACTAGGTGTAAGTTACATTTGGCTTCAAGGTAAAAATTGAGATCTAATAAAGTTTTCGCTTTCACTGAAAATGAATAAATTGATATCTTTCAATTCTTAAATTCGCGAATCTATGTTCCTATAATGAATTTTTATATTTCAAACACTTTTTGTAGTGGTTGTAGTGGTTTTTGTAGGACTATAATATTTCAGGATGTTCTTGCAGACCATTAAAAATGCTAAAGAAGAATTTGCACAGTTACTAACTAAACCCTTTCAAACGGTTTTTAACTGAAAAATCGGTTCAGGATATTTTGTAACAATGTAGATGGAAAGTTTGCACTGAATTTCTATCTGAAGCCTTTTTTCGAATGGCTTTAAATTTTTGAAATCGCTAAGTCGTTTTTGAGAGAACGCCGACAAAGTGTAAAACTACAGGGCCTTAACGTTTACCATAAAATCTCTATCTCATCTGAAAATTGGCTCTATCTTGTATACCTACACACACATTATTTTTCCAAGTTTGATCTCAAAGAATTAGAAATTACTTGAAACGTCGAAAAAACATAAATTCATCAAAAAACGCCTTAACTCCATTTTTGTTTGAAGAAATTTTAAATATGGACTGTCTTTATATATTGAAACACAAGTAAGTCATTGATTTTAGAACAGCTTCTTATGACATATCTTACAACAGAACTTCATAGGAGATATACTGAGATGTTTCTTATATATCAATATTTATTGTAATTACCTTGGAAGATCGCAGCGTCACCTTGCCGCCGCAGCGGGCGCAGCAGCGAATGTTACAGTAATGACACACGTGTCCCACACCGTCGGCAAACTTGGTCTTGAGGCAGATGTGACACGTGGCGTCCAATTCGATGCCGGCCTTCTTCTGCTGTTCCGAACGCTGCCTAATCGTATCCTCCAAAACGGCCACTTCGTCTTGCTTTCTCCTGCAGAATGAATAGAAATAGGAATTAGTTGAAAGACATCAACTATAAAAAAGTATTTATATTTATAATATATATATATATATATATATATATTAAAGTAATAAAGTAATCATCTTAAGAAAAAAATCAAAAACTTATAAAGACCAATTTTCAGGGGCCAATTTTCAGATAAAATAGAAATGCTATGATAATATTATGTTACGGTTGTATAACTGTAAGGGTTGGTAGTCACAAACTGTCAAAAGTCTATGTATTTGTTGTGCAATCAGGCATTTTACACGTAAAACCTAACCTCCAAAACGCACAGTTGTCGAGTAACAATTTTATCATAAGTGCAACTTTCTGGTGTCTCTTTGATAGCACATACGTGAAGTTTTATGTGAAAAACGCTTGATCGTACAGCAAATACATAGCTTTTTGATAAATCTGTAATTTGTGACTACCTACCAATACTAATATATACCCTTAACATAACATTTCTATCTTATCCGCGAATTAACCACTTCATATAATATTATGAGATTGTATATAATAAACACCAAAATTTATGATCTTAAAAAGAAAAGGTATATAAAATTGTTGTAGCATGTTTTGGACTACAAAGTATTTTGAATAATTTCAATTTGCTATTCATCTAATGCTAAAAGGCAATTATAAGAGAAACACCATACATTAAGAAACACTTTTACGGGTGATAATCTTACTGTATTACATACATTATTAAATTTAGTAATAAAAATTACATTTGTCTATTTGTATATCTATATAAATACATAAATGCGTGACCTTTTTGAATATTATAAGCAAAACATATTTCTTTGAATCTATTTTTCCCTACAAATAGATGCTGACTAATAACCCTCTTATTCTTTGGGGATTAGACAATAGCATTTTTTAAATTCTTCAGTTCATATTTTTCATAATTATACATATTTCAGATTGACCTTTTAAATTATAAAATAGGCGTTTTAGTTACTATCAAAAAAATTATAATATCAGCATATACATACATGAATATATATATATATAAAATACACATGTATATTTTATTTAAAACCTTAGATTAGCAATATGGATTTAACTAAAAGTCGAATTTGTATATTTTCTCTTCAATTGAAACGTTTTGGACATCTAATTTTAAAAAATATAATGAAGAAACAGTATTTGCATATTAGAAGTTTTTTTTATAAGTGTTCTTATTTTTGAATGAATATATATAGATTATTGTCATGGCATGAAATTAATATGAATAAATAATTGTTTTTATAAGCATGGAATAGTAATTCCATGAATAATAGTACACAATGATATAAATAATTAGAATATGCTGATGAATTGCAATACAAAGATTAAAATTTCAGTTACCTAATTCAAAAAATTAGTAAAGAATTCAAAAAATTCAGTTAATTCTTATCCTTTACCATAATAGGAAATCTTTTGAAGATTATTGCGCAAGTTAATGCAAAAGCAAATAGAGCGTAGAAAAGCGCATGGATCTTTCCAATTCAATTTGCTATTTTTGTCTTGTAAGCTTATTTAAAAAATAAGTACAGTATGTGCATAATATATGTATATATCGGGCATGGAATAACTTTTACTATTGTATAAAGCGCAAAAGGCATTAGTAATATCTGATGGTCACTAAAAATCAATTTAGTCATTGAATATCAATTTTAAAGCAAATTATTAAACAAAAAAATAACGGAACAAGAATCTTTCAAAATGTTCAATTATGAATGGTTGAAGCGTTTGTCTGTCATTTTCGCACGTATTGAAAAATTTTAACTTAATTCCAATATTTTGTGAAAATTAAATTCATAATTGTACAGAAAGTAAAGTACTGTGAATACTGCGTATGAGTAATAATTTTTTAATTTAATCGATACGTAATTAGAACATCTTGCATACATAATTACACCGTGTTTTACCAAAATTCATATCAGCCAATTAATTTTGGTTACAAATTTTCGATTTTTTAACTTAAATGCTTGGAATTATTTACTTCTAGCATTTTTTCAATTTTGGAGTATAGAATATTAACACCTTAAGAAAATAAAAGACTCCAACGTTGTAACAAGTTTTTTCTAGTACCAATTTTTTATAGAGTTCAGTTTATAAATATTTTTTTTTTTTTGATCTTCCGAAAGCAGAAAAAAAAACAAAAAATTATGATATTTACATAGAACACAAACATTTTTCGATAGATTTTTAACAGACTGAACAACATAGTTTTTCTACGATTATTTAAGTTGGATAAATGTTATTATTATATAAATATTATATGATAACCTATTCAAATCATTAAGAGCTTACCAATTCTTAAAATCAAGATATAATATTCAGTATAATTTAGTAAACTGATAATTGACTAAACTGAACTTTTAGTTGCAAATTTTCAAATTACTAACTTAAATGTTTGTACTTATTTACTGTTAGCATTTTTGAAGTTCAAGAATATATAATATTAAACACCATGTAAAAATAATAGACTTATATGTTGTAATAACCAAGCTAGCAACAAATTTTAAACTTCACATAGGATAAGTTATAGTAATCACAAATAAAATCGAGAATAAAATCTTTTGTATATCGTTACGTTTCAAGATCTCCTGAATATTTTTAGTCATTCTTTATTAAAAAAAGGAATGTATGCACGTGTTTGTGCGGAAACAATTTTTGTCAACGATTTCGAGAACACGGATTAACCGATTTGAATGATTTCAAAAAATACTCTATTTTTATAGATAGGCAGATGTGCTGATTCGTTTTTTTTCAATGGAGGGTGCAACCGTTTCGAAGATAAGGGGTAAAAAGTGCAAAATATGGCAATTCCGTTTTTGAGAAAACTGAACGTCCGATTGGAATGATTCTAAAACATTTTATTCGAATAAACGGAATAAATAGCCAACTAAATTTTTATAGGAGGTTCAACGATTTCGGAGTTTTATTTTAAAAAAACGCCATTTGGAAGTAAAAATGCTTATTAGACAATTGCACATCAAACCTACATCAAATCAGATATATTATAGAGATTTTAATAATAACTACTATTTTTTACATTTTTATAGGAAACCCATAAATAAGATTTATAAGGTTTAACAGTTAGATTTCGTCTAAAAAACAACTAAGAAGCGTGATCGATTTGAAAAATATCCCAATTTTCAAACAATTTCAAAATTTTCAAAAAAATCTGATTTTTTCAAAAGTTTCAAAAAGTTCACTGCATATATATCAGTTTTATATCTTACAAAGGTAAATGTAAGTTTATAAACTAAAGAAGTAATAAGATAATTTCTAAGTGGGATATTTATATATATTTGTATGTGTATATATAGCCCTGGCGACATATAAGAAAACGATAAAATTTCCAATGCTATTATTTATTCAGATTGACCTCATAATTTCTTTCTCCCTTTCTTCTTCCTCCTTTTGTCGCATCATGACATTTTCAATGATAGCTCTTTCTTCTGCAGTCAGATGGGATAAATCCGGCAAGTCGGCCATTTTGTATTTATAAACACAATTTTCCTTACTTGATACACGATTAAAACAAAGCACTTGGCACCGATCACAAAATTATGTTTGAATTCATTACTTTCGTTAAAATAATATCACTGTTAAATCATGTCATTGGAAAGTTTCCTCTTCTAATGTTCATTTGGGAGTATTCCCTTAAGGTGGAAGGTTATGTTAACCTTTCAGACGCCTTCGCGTCGAGAAATTTATAAAACTGATATAAAATCCAATATTTATCAGTCGTAACCCCAGACATATTGGCCATGTGGATAATGAGAACAGTATTTAAGTGGTACTTATCAAGCCCTTCGGCCTGAATCGAAAACGAAACACTTTCTTTTTAACGAAACTAGGATATACACTTCGACTATTAGTCCAACGAAACATCGCAACAGTCACTTTGCATAATTCCATACATATTATTTTGAAGTATCCATCGTATCACATGTTCATCTTTGACGTTCGTTGCGTTACCTGTTTACAAGTACTGCCCTCATATCCATTTTGAATCACTATTAAGGTAGTTTTTAAAGAGTTAGCGCAAATATGACTGATAAACCATTGTTCTTGTTTCTAATTTGGTCATCGAATGAAGTCAAATCATAATGAAACTCGTATCATATCTCAGCCCAACCGATCACATTCGGTGCCCACTTTGACATTTGTTAGTCATGCACCCTCGTCACGTATGTTTAGCGACCATTCGTTTTCGGAACAAATTCACTTCCGATTCGGCAAAGGGCAAAAAAACTGTAAAATCATTCAAAAAGTGGCTCACACGCGATTATTTGTCATATTATTTTCCGTGGAACACTGACACATTTGACGTCACCGCACTGTTATCGGACACTTTCGGGCATCGATTGCTCGCGGAGCACCCCGCGCGTTCGCGAAACATTATCGTTCGCCGAAATAAATAACCGCGGCTGTTAGAGACCATCGCATATGATTGCCGTGCGTCCCTTGTGTTCTGGTGTACGTTTCGAACGGAGATAGTTTTTATTCTCTCTCCATATTAGTCATTCATGCGGACTTAATAAATAATACTATGCGTTGAAATCGCGACCAATAGCGACTGTTATTCGGGCTGACGTCACGCATCGTCGGGGAGAGCCGTATTGATTAGCGAGGCGTCATTGTGGGAAAGGTGGCGCTCTTCCTAACAAACTACCCCTTAGTTCCTGAGCGCGTCGGATGATGACCCCAGGATACGGCCGTGCTACCCTCGCAGTAGAGAATTACGTTCGGAAACCGTTAATTCAAACTAAATAGAATGAACTTAAGTAGTACC